TCTCTCTCTCTCTCTCTCTCTCTCTCTCTCTCTCTCTCTCTCTCACACACTCTTTCCCTTCCATCTCCTGCACACTCCAGATGGCCACCAGAAAATAGGCCCCAGCGACCCACCAATTAGGGGCGCGATTCCCCCGGAGCCTCGTTGGTGGCTTTCAATAAGGCAGACACCACCCTCCCTGCCACCTTTCCCTTCCCATACCCTCCTCTCTCTCTCTCTCTCTCTCTCTCTCTCTCTCTCTCTCTCTCTCTCTCTCTCTTAAACCCATCCTCTTGCTCTCTCGCTCGTTCTCCCTCGTTCTCCCCTCTGTCCTCTGGTCCCCTGAGGCCTCCTCAACGAAAGACCCTTTTGACCATCGCGGGCGAGGGTTCCCGAAACACATCTGCGTCCTTTCTTCTGGTACCTGCATGCAGGGCCCACTGGACCCTAACCTGTGCAACAGTGGCACAAAGTGTTTTTATGTACACTATAGTTCCTACAAATGATTTGGAAATGCTGCGAAGTTGAAATTCTCCATTTAAAGTCTCAGATTTGGGTGCCAAGCAAACAAGGACGCATGTCTTTGCTGTATACTTTAGTATCATGTCATTTGCCAGTTTTTAGTGTGAAATATTTTAATGTGGCATTTGCTATAATTATTGTGGACCAAGTAATCTTCGAGCTTTTTTCGCATTTATATGCACTGTTATTTTATTCCAATACTGTGACGTCACATTCTTAATAATGTAAATTGTGTCACATTAAATAGAATACCATGTCACATTCGTTATGTTCGCCTACCATGCACTGAGCCCGTAAGGGAAGTGCACATGCAAGGATATGTCACGTTCTGAACAATGTGACACAATGCACATTATATAGAATGTGACGTCACAGTTGAATAACATTGTGATTGCGGTTTACACCCAGAGAATCATTATCAATGGCAACCATATTATGGTTGACTTAGGGAGCACCCTAAAATGTGGCTGAGACAACAATGACAACGTGGTGGAAACCATTTTTTTGGATATCACAACGACGATAACGTCGCATCAACTCTAATGGTGCTCCCTGAAATAAACATACGGTGGTCGCTATAGATTATCTTCTTAATGGGTGTAAATTTGAAGTTGGAATGAACTTGCGTGACTATATACGCGTCCCTTTCCTTCCTATGTATCCTCGTTGTTCGCTTCTGTTCGTCCTCTAACGCAGGGTGACGCGTTGCGTCTTGCGTCAGCCTCGACTCGTCCCGCTCAGTGTCGACCTCAGCACCCCCTACCCCTCCACCTACCCAGGCCTGACGCGCGTTCACGACCGAACCCTTTTGCGGTTGTGCTGAGGGCGCATAGCAGCAGCGGCAGCGCCGCTTAGAGAGGAACAGAATATAAAAGGAAATGCTAATCCAGGCAATAAACGTAATGCGTTCATTAGCTCTGCAGCTCACGGTGCAGCCGTTGGAGGAATATCTTCATGCGCACCTCGACCTTTAAACGCAACGGGGTTTTCTTAGATTTTTCGACACATC